ATTTTTTTAGTTTTTTGTGTGTGGGGAGAAAAAGAGAAAAAAAAAAAAAAAAAAAAAAAAAAAAGTTAATAACTTTGCTTGGCATTTTATCTAGAAAAGTACTCAATCTACCAAAATGGGTCTGTAATTCATGCAACCTACATGGAGTTCATTGGCTAATTAATGTATATTAGGATACATCATGCACATTTGAAGACAAGCATAATAATTTCAGCTCACCCCAATATATTCTCACAGTGGCCATTTTGATTAGAGCAATGGATGGTTTTGTGTCCCCTTTGGTGGGAGCCAAGTGAGAAGCATCTGGCTGAGTAAGACATTGCTGTATCATTTTGTCACTTATTTATGGCAGCCTCTTGACTCCCAGATAAATAGTAGCTGCCACTTCTGTCCCATCTTCTGCCCTGCTACTTTTAGTTAAATGACCTTGATTGCAAAAGACTTTTCATCCAGCAACTTATTCTCAATACTTAAAACATTTAAAGCACACAATAAAGCATGAGACATCTTAAAAATGATAAATGGTGAACATACAGTGCAACCTAGCTATATGTGTTTTATTTTAGTTTAAATAGTGTGGTTATTAATGTTAGTTACACCAAAAGACGAGTAATACCCCCCCCGCCCCTTTTTAAGCACGATGTTTATTAAGTTTAGATATGATGAAAAGGATCTAAATAAACAAAAAATAGTATGAGTATTTTGCACTGAGCATATACATACTGGGACTTGCCTTATTAAGCTTCCAAACACAAGATGGCAGATGTGAAATATTTCGATAACTTGTAGAATTGCCTAAAAAAAAACCCATAAACCACAGCTTTCCTAGGATATTGTTATTTTTCATTGTGTACCCTGTGACTAACACCACAAGCCCAAATAAACACGCTCTTACCACCACTGCTCTCAACATCTGGCACTAGGAACAAGCCTCCTGGTGCTCGCTGATTTCACGCTCGCTATAGGATGATCCCAAATACACAGGCACACCTCCGCTGTCACAGATTCCCCTCAATCATGGAGTCGTGCCAGGATATAAATTGTACTACCAGAACAACACAATGAACAATGGAGTTTTTACATCAATGGTAGGATTAGCCAGAGCTTCCCCCTTGCTGAGCCGCCACCTGACTGGGGCCTGATATGATAGCAAGTAGAAAACAGTTCAGCTTTGTCCTCCCCCCTTGTAAATTTAAGGACTTTTATTTGTTAATCTGGGATATTTTTTTCTTGTTAATGCTTCAGTACACAAAAGGGTTCTTTTTTTTAGCTTTACTGCAGGTAAATGAGAGAATGAGAGTTCAGTTGTGACGGGCAAGTGTTAAGTTTGATTTTAGACTTTCTGTTGGATTTGCCGGTTTGTCTAATGTGAATCTTTGTACAGAAATAAAAAGTACAACGCTTGGCAGGTTTTTGCTCATATTTGCTTGTTTCTTTCTATGCTTTGAAATGTGAAAGCGAAAAGACTGGAATGTTTTTGCTCCTATTTTTATCTGGTTTAACTGCTCATGAAATGATCTTCAGTCTCATATATATACCCTGGAGAACATCTGCAATCTATATTTCTTTATTGGTTTCTGCAGTGGCCAGCATCCAGAGACTTCCAGCCGTGTCTGTGATGACTGACATCAACTTCCCCATGAAAGGTCGTAAAGGCATGGTTGACTGGGCCAGGAACTCGGAAGATAAAGTGGTCATCCCAAAGGGCCTCTTTGTTTCCCATTCAGCAGGTATATCACTGAACACATCCAGTATTTTATGGAGCTGCATCACCTCCTGTCCAAATAATTTTATTCTACAAGACTCAAAGCCATAAAGACTGTCTTTATGTGTAAGTCTGATTTTTCATCAAACTTTAAATAAACATTTAAAGAAATGTAAAAAAAAAAAAAAAAAAAACTTTATCAAAGATCTGTCAGTCCTAAGCAGATGTTATTGTTGTCTTTATGTTGGATTGCACATTTTTTCAAGTATATTGAAAATGGAACAACGAAAAAAAGTTAACTTGCTTGTTCCTTTTCAGTCATGAATTTGTTTCACTCCTTTTATGGCATGAATTCAAAAGCCGCAGCTGCTACTTCATATCCCAATCCAAAACCAGGCAAAATTGTCAACTGGTTTAATCAGTCTTATCTGTTATGAATCAAACATAACAAAGGAAAATACTGATTAGGACTCTGAGGCTATGCGATCCCAGCTGCTTTAGTCCAGAAAGCAGATTCCATAGAAAGCAGATTTTATAGAAGCATGAGTCATTGTTCTACAAATTTTAAAACCCTATAGAAAATGTTTCTTTTCTTCTTTTTTTTTTCAATCAAGCTGGTAGAACAGGTAGATCGAAATAAGTCATGCTAGAAATAAATAAATATATTAAAATAGATTTTTTTTTTTTTTTTAAATCTTTAAACTCCTAACCTGATTCCCCATTTTCTATTTCAGACATAGAAGGATCACCTGTGTTCATTTTGGGAACGGTTCTCTACAAAACACTTGGACTCATGCTACCTTCACCAAAGTAAGGGAAGCACAAACACACATAGACACACACACACACACACGCACACACGCACACACACACGCACACACACACACACACACACACACACACACACACACACACACACACACACACACACACACACACACAGTAATATAGTAATAACACAAATATAGGTTATAATGTATGTGTATATATGTATGCATATAAATATAAATATATAAATATAAATATATATATATATATATATATATATATATATATATATATATATATATATATATATATATATATATATATATATATA